ACCATTGGGTTGAATTACCATTTCCTTTCACCTACCCTGCAATTTTGGAGGTGTCCAACACAGGGGAGCGTGCACCTGCAGCGTTATACAGCAGAAGTCACGCTTAAGAATGCGGCAGCCCTGCAGAGCCACTTCACCCCCAAAGGTCAGCCGTGGCTCTGGCTGGAGGCTGACCTCAGGCATCTGTGCAAAGCGGGGGGCCTGAGCCAAGGCAGAGGGGTGGGTCCTGTGGGCTGTGCAGGCCCCTCTTCCTGGGCTCATTGGAAGGCAGTAATTTCCAAGGACCCCTTTCTCTGGGAGGGGCTCATTGTCCAATTCTGTCCAAAAAGGCAACAGAAATAAGAACTCATGCTGTTTCTCACAGGCCCTGTGGACCACCCCTTGGAGAGGCGGTTTCCAGCGATTAATCATGAGGCAGGGGCAGGATCCCCTCAAGAACATCCAGTGACCCCTCAGGGCAAATAATCCCCCCCCACAAGAGACTCGGCAGGAGGGTGGGAGCCCTGCCTTCGAGGTTCTGGGTGGCCCTGAGAGTCCCAGTACCTCCTATTCTCCTATTTGTGGGTCTTTGTTGGTTGGGGGTAACCTTCATTGGGGTCCCCTGGACACCTGGGACTGAAGCTGAGGGCTCCACTCATGTCATTCTGTCTGTCGATGGGGGTGAACTGGGCTCTGCAGGGGGCTCCCTACAGCGGTGGGGGGACGTCGGTGCAGCTCCGCCGGGAGCTGGAGCACTGGGCCTTCTTGTCACCTCACCTGGTGTCCCTCTGTTTTTTCTACAGTGAACTTTGACCACTTCCAGATCCTGCGGGCCATCGGGAAGGGCAGCTTCGGCAAGGTAAGGCAGGGCCTTTGAGGGGTCAGGTTGCTGGATGTTAAGGTTGTTGGGAAGTCTCATTATAAATAACACTGATGAACTCTTTGGATGAAAGTACCTTCGTTTCCCAGGACGCTCTGCTAGGCAAGGGCCGGTGGGTTTCACCAAAGAGTCAGATCCAGCAGGTTTGGCTGGAGACAGTGATGCCCATTGAGATGTCCAGTCAGTTCCAGGCCTCCTGCCTTTGGGTGAGGCACCTGGGACCTCGAGTTCCAGAATCTTCCACCTCTCCTGGCCCCTGCGCCTTGAAGACTTGGAGACTGAAGGCTATGGAGACCCTTAGAAATGGCTCTGGGTTACCTGTCCTTATGAGGTCTCTCTGCCACTTGAATGGGGCACACAGCTGGCTGTGCAGCCCAGGTCCTGGCTGATGTGGGGCGTCGGCACCAGTGCAGGCCTATGGGCGCCTGACCGCCATGCTCTGGGCTGGGTCTTGCCTGCGCTAGGAAGGTGCCTGTGCACAGGAGACGTGTCCCTCCAAAGATTTACATCCAGTCACTTCGAAGTCAAGCCTGTGGCGGCTGGAATGGGAGCTGGGGTGGCCGTGCTGACGCGCCCTGTGGCCTCCAGGTGTGCATCGTGCAGAAGCGAGACACGGAGAAGATGTACGCCATGAAGTACATGAGCAAGCAGCAGTGCATCGAGCGGGATGAGGTCCGCAACGTGTTCCGGGAGCTGGAGATCCTGCAGGAGATTGAGCACGTCTTCCTGGTGAACCTCTGGTGAGCCCGCCCTGCGCCCCGCAGCAGACGCCCCTGGACCTGCCCCTCTCCTGCCCTGGGTGCCTCCCACTGCTCCCTGCTCGCCTGACCCTGGGACACCTGGCACCCACCTCCCGTCCTCTCCCTGTCCACTCACAGTCCCCTTTCCCAGGTGTCCACTGCACCCTCCCAGAAGCCTAGGCTCTCCCACAAAAGAGGCCTGTGACCCATGGAGTTTCTGGCAAAAAGTCAATGGGGGAGAGTTTGGGGGCCTGACTGAGTTTCTTCCACAAAATGAGCCCCAAAACCAGCCCCAGGAGGTGGGGACCTGCAGGCCACAGGGAGTCACCCTCCTTCCCTGGGAGTGCTCCTGAATCCCCCAACAGCCTCTTCTTGGGGGGGTCTGTGCTCCCTAATGTGTTCACAGATGGGGCATGGTTCCTGAGGGCCCTGGGCAGCCCGGCTGCTCACAGAGCTGGAGAGAGGGGACCCTGCTCCTATGGAGTGCGGGTGGGTTGGAGGATGACCCCCAGCCATGCATGTGCCGGGTCCTCCCCCCGCGCCCTCAGGTACTCCTTCCAGGACGAAGAGGACATGTTTATGGTGGTGGACCTGCTGCTGGGCGGGGACCTGCGCTACCACCTGCAGCAGAATGTCCAGTTCTCCGAGGACACCGTGAGGCTGTACATCTGCGAGATGGCGCTGGCCCTCGACTACCTGCGCAGCCAGCATATCATCCACAGGTGTGTGCAGGGACACTCCGCCGGCAGGGTGCCACCCTCCAGAAGACCCTGACAGCTCCTTTCTGCTCTGCCCGCCCCACACTTGCCCGCAGGCCTGCCCCCAGGTGTGGCTCCAAGGCCAGCCCCACAGCTGCATCTCTGATGTCCACCTGGGGGTGGATCCTACCCCAGCAGCCCCAGCTGGGCTGGGCACACAGAGCCCTTGGATCCCCTGATTCCGGGGCCTGGCTGCATTGGGGTGGCCTTCACCTGGTCTGCTTAACTGCAGGATCCCATTTGCCCATCTGCCATGTCTCCGGGGAATTCAAACTAATGTTAACATTAGCTTAAAGCAGATGAAATTGAGGAGATGAAACTGCATTCACAGGACAAAAAAGAAAACCCCCACTATGTGGTTTATTATAAAGTCAAACAGCTGTGATTTCAGCACTTCTGCCCGGGGGGACCCTGGTCACGATTCAGACAGCAAACATTTAGTAAGTGCTTGGAGGTCAGGTCTGCCAAGGCCCCAGCCCACAGTTCTGTGTAGCTCAGGGCTCTGAGAGAGGGTGTGCCTGGGGAGTCAGGGCTCCCAGGTCCTGCTTCTGTCCTCTAGAGGCCTTGGCTCCCTCTGTGTCCAGGGATGGGCTTTTCCCTGCTGTCTGGTCCAGAGGTGGGGCTGGAGACGGCCTCCCAAGGACCAGGATGGCCGGTCTGCCCGGCTCTGTCTGAATGTTGCCAGGTGCGGAGGGGGCTTTAGGCCCTCGAGTCTTACTATCTTGCACCTCTTGGGCCTCTGCCGGCTGGAGGTCCCTCAGGGTAGCCCCCAGCCCTGCCAGGGGTTACAGGCAGGAGCAGGAAGGATTTCTCCCCACTTTCTGCTCTTTCTGCAGAGACGTCAAGCCCGACAACATTCTGCTGGATGAGCAAGGTGAGCAGGAGCTTGAGGCCAGCGAGGGCAGGAGCACCCCTGTCCTCAGGACGCATCTCTGGCCCTTTGGACAGCCTCACCGTGCTCTCTCCTCGCAGGACACGCGCACCTGACCGACTTCAACATCGCCACCATTATAAAGGACGGGGAGAGGGCGACCGCGCTAGCCGGGACCAAGCCGTACATGGGTGAGCGTGGCCCCGCGCCCACCTGCCAGCCCACCGCCTCCCAGTCGGCTGTGGCTGGTGGGGCAGGTCACTTCCCTACGGGCACACAGCAGTCAGTGTACACAACAGCTGTGTCTGACTGGTGCAGAAGACGAAGTGACCTACTAAGTGACCAGGCTGTGGGACCTGGTGGTCTGTGGGGAAGGATGACAGCTGAGGGTGGCCTCTAGGTCAGCTCTGGTGGCAGCCTGGTCTCAGTCTCCATCTTAAGGTGCCAGTGCTGGGGCCCACGGGTCAGAGATGCTTAGCATCTCCTTCCCTTTCTGGAAAGCTCCGGAGATCTTCCAGTCTTTCGTCAACGGTGGGACCGGCTACTCCTTCGAGGTGGACTGGTGGTCGGTGGGGGTGATGGCCTACGAGCTGCTGCGTGGATGGGTATGAAGCTCCTCAGCCTGCAGGCTCAGCCCCAGACCCCAAGCTGCCTGCACCCTCACCCCCAGGGGTGGCCCAGGTGCCCTGGGAGTGACTCGGCTGCCCCACCCCAGGTGCTCAGGGACACCTGTGCTCTCTTTCCATCAGCGAGGACACAGCTTTTAGCCACCCATGCTCTCTGGGTGGGTGCACAATGCCTGAGCGAGTACGGGAGGGGAGTCGCTGGGGTTTCCGGCCGGTGGGGGGGCCTGTGCACTGGCCTCCGGGAATTGGGCCTGGAACTGCCCTTCCCCGCCCCCTGGTAGGAGATGTGCTTCCCCGGAGGGAGGCAGCCCCTCCCAGCCCTCCAGGGCCCACCCACCTGGCCAGGCCCTGGGGCTGGATGTGCTTCCTTCTGGGCCTGATCAGTGGCCTCTTCTGGTCAGTTCCTTGGTGGAGATGTGGCCTGGCCCAGGCACCTGCTTCTCCTCTGGCTGTTCCTGGGAGGGGCAGTGGTCAGGCTGTGCCTGCATCGGGGTGGGTGCTGCCGGGTGCTCCAGGTCACCTGTGAGGCACTGGTACAGTGCCGCCTCCTTTGCCCAGAGGCCCTACGACATCCACTCGAGCGACGCCATGGAGTCCCTGGTGCAGCTGTTCAGCACTGTGAGTGTCCAGTACGTCCCCTCCTGGTCCAAGGAAATGGTGGCCCTGCTGCGGAAGGTGAGCCCCTCCCAGAGCGCAGGGCCACCAGGCACACGGGCTGAGCTGAGCCTCCTGTCCCAAGGGTGTGTGGTGTGGAGACTTTTGACCCTGGAGTTGTAGCCAGGCAGCCAGAGGCCTCTCTGGGTCCCTAATGGAGCCTGTTCACCCAGCTTTTGCCCCACAGAACTCTTCCCATAACCTGCCCAGGTGGTTGACAGGTGGGACCTTGGCCCCCAGAAGCTCAGGTGGGGAGTGGGGATGATCCTTGTGCCAAGCCCCAGGCCTGGTGAAGCCTAGTATGGCCACCACCGCCCCCCCCCCAACCTCATGGGACTGGGATGGCGGTAGTTACTGTCTCCCGGCTGCCCTTCAGTTAGCCAGGCCCAGGCCGCCACCTGCTGGCGAATCTCAGCAGAACATCCCTGCAGGCGCCACATGTCCTTGGCCTTGGCCACATTACCGCGCTGCCCAGGTGGCTTGCCTGACCCTTGAGACCCTGAATTTCCAAACCTTGGGTCTTCTGGTGAGACCTGCCCAGGTGCCCTGGCCTGGGCAGGCTCTTCCCCCAGCGAGTGCTGGGCCTGGTCCCCCAGGGCTTCGGGCCGGGCACCGTCTGACATGGGCCTTGTTCCAGCTCCTCACTGTGAACCCCAAGCACCGTGTCTCCAGCCTCCAGGACATGAAGGTGACCCCGTCACTGGCCAATGTGCTGTGGGACGACCTGAGCAAGAAGAAGGTGGAGCCAGGTTTTGTGCCCAACGTAAGCCTGCAGGACGGCCGGCCTGGGCAGGGGCTCCAGGGTGGCACCGGATGAGCTCACCTCCCTGTCTCTTCACAGAAAGGTCGCCTGCACTGCGACCCCACCTTCGAGCTGGAGGAGATGATCCTGGAGTCCAGGCCACTGCACAAGAAGAAGAAGCGGCTGGCCAAGAACAGGTCCCGGGACAGCAGCAGGGACAGTCCCCAGTCTGTGAGTGCGGGGCTTGGGGAGTCGGGGTCCTCTCCACTGCGTCACAGCATCCCGACAGACCTGGGCAAGTCTCCACCTTGAACATCCTGCAGATGGTCCTCCAAAGTCCTGCGACCTTCCTCCCACCTTTTCCACCCCAGCCCCATCTTCTCCCGAGTCCTGCAGCTTCTCTGAGCCCCTCACTTCCTCTCTGAGCCCCTCACTTCCCCACTGAGCCCCTCACTTCCTCTCTGAGCCCCTCACTTCCCCACTGAGCCCCTCACTTCCTTTCTGAGCCTCTCACTTCCTTCTTTGAGTGGAATGAGAACCGACTCCCAGGCTCTTCCCAGGGAACTAGACCCCAAGTCTCCTTGTCCAGCGTATGGCCTGTGCCCCACCCCCATCCACAGCCTCCCAGCCACGCCCAGCATCTCAGCCCCGCAGGCTCAAAACTGTCCCCTCCGCCATGCTGCCAGTGACCGGCTGTTGTTCTGAAGCTCGGAGGGGAGGCAGAGGCACATCCTGAGGGGCGAAGACTGTCTTCCAAGGCCCCTGCGTGGTTGCAGCCCCGGGGGCGGGGGGTTGCTGCTCTTCTCCTGCAGGGGTGGACCCCTAATGCAGGTGCACCCACTGAGCCGGCTCCTCCCAGGTGCCTGAGCCCAGGGCCTTCCCTATCAGGGCCTCGGCTGTGATGCAGGACTTCCCAGGCCTGGTGGTCCAGCCTTCTCTGAAATCATGCTGCTCTCACAGTGACCCACGGCTGTCGCTTGTTCATGCATCCCCAGTGCCCAGCAATGACCAAGCAGACCCACGTCCATATGACTACTTCCCCATCTGTCCTCAATGCCAGAGCTGCTGGGGTGGCCAGCATGCCCTTTCCCTGGAACCCTCCCAACTCACATTCAACGTGGCACCAGTGATGGGTTCCTTGTTTATCTGGCCAGTGTGGGACCCAACTCAGGTCCTGTCCTGAGACTCTGCTTCTTGGGGCAGCCCTTGTGACAACCATCTTAGCGCAGGTTCTCCCGAAGCAGACCCTGGGATGGGATTCTGTGCACAAGTGATAAGTGGCCTGGAGGACCCGGTAGGAAGTGGGCGAGGGGAGGGAGCCAAGCCAGGTGTGGTCTCCCACTAAGTCTGGTCACATGGATACTGCCTTCCATGTCAGCATCCACCCTGAGACAGAGCTGGGCTTCTGTACAGAAAATCCTTCAGTTGCTGGCTAAGAGTCAAGTGGGAGGTGCAAATTCCCAGGTGCTCTGGCTGCCTAGGGGCATAGTGCAGACTTTGGATGAAAGCACAGGGATAGACCACAAGACAAGCAGACCAGGGTGGAAGGGACCCCACCTGAGGGGATGTGAGGGAACCTGATGACATCCAGTATTTATTCTAACAGGAGAATGACTACCTTCAGGACTGCCTTGATGCGATCCAGCAAGACTTTGTGATTTTTAACAGAGAAAAGTGAGTGTGTATGTGTGTGTGTGTGTGTGGGGGGGGTGATGGGGGCAGAGAGGAGTTTGGGGAAATGGGCCAGGGTTTTCTTGGCCACACAAGTCTTGAGCCTAGCAGCCACAAGGCATCAGTGGGCCTGGGAAGCCTGGCCCCATCCTCCTGGGAGGTCCAAGCATTGGCCCCGGGTGGGGGTGGGGGAGGTCCATGCAGGAGGGACTCCTCTAGAACTTTCAGTCCTAAACTGGGGTCAATGGCCAGAATCTCCTGGGAGACAGACACTCAGTGGACTTCCCAAATGAGGGCCGGTGGCTCCTGCACGGCTTCTGCACATCAGCTGCCTCCCTCAGTCAGTCATTCACTCATTCAGCAAACATTTCCTGAGTGCCAGGGACTGTGGGACAGAAAGGCCATAGCTGGCTGGCAAGGAAATACAGTAGGCCACAAATAGCTGGCCCAGGAGAAGGAGTGGCAGGGTGAGGCACAGAGGGCTTCCTGGAGGAAGTGGCTCTCAGCTCTGGCCAGGAAGGTGAGCAGGATTGTTCAGTGCTCTGAGCTATTTCAGTGACCAGGATGACATGTGGGCACTGGTGTAGGACACTGACCACCATCCTGGAGGTTAGAGGCCTGGGTAAGAATGGGACTTGGCCAAGCTCTTTGAAAAGCCCGAAATTGTTGATCCCAGAACTTACACTTAAATGAGGCCTCCTTTTAGCTTCTGGTTGGAAATGAACTGAGACCCACCAGCCTTGCTGCTCCCAGCCCCATGGCCCATAGTCAGAGAGTACTACTGGGCTGAGTGCCCCCAACCCACCTGGCCTGTGACCTGCCCCACAGCCATCAGCTCCCTACCAGGTCAGCCTGTCCAGGAGATTCCCTGGCACCTGGTGCACATTCGGGGACCCCTGAGCCAGGGACACATTCTGGAGTGCTCAGACAGCTGTCCCTGGGCTGCTGGTGAGGCTGCACGAAGCCCTCCCTGTGCTTCCCCACCAGGCTGAAGAGGAGCCAGGACCTGGCGAGGGAGGCCCTGCCCACGCCCGAGGCCCTGCCCGTGGATGGTGAGGCCTTGGCCGACGGTGAGGCGGCGAGCCCGGCCCTGCCCGGGTGCGGCTCCATCTGCCCCTCAGCGGGGAGCAGCTAGGAGCCCGCTGCCCTGAGGGGTAACTCAGGCTGCACTGGGAACTCAAGTCCTCAGAAGGGACAGGGCGACCGGGAGGAGGCCAAGTGTCAGCGTTCCCACTGAGCAGCCCCGCTCGTCCAAGCACAGGCCCAGGCTGGCGGAGTGCTGTTGCCTTGGCCCATTTCCAGCCAAACCACCGAGCTGCCATTGGGCTCTTGGAGGGACATGGTGACAAGAGGCTGTCAGTGCAGCCGAGTGGTGGACCAGGAGTGCAGGACCACCTGGGATGCTCTGATCACTACCTGATGGTCCTGGTGGCCGCCTGACCCACTCACTGGGAGGTCACAGAGGCCAGGCCACACCGTGGGACAGGCGCTCTCGCCTCTCACCACCTCTTGGCTGTACATAGGCCTGGTCGCCCGGCCCTGCCATCTGTGAGCCTGCTACCCGGAGCTTGAGGGTGGCCCAGGATCCACAGTTCTTGTACATCAAGGGGGAGGATTGTGGGTGGGAAGGCAAGGATGTTTTATAAATACAAACTGTTCTGGCACTTTCTGCGGTGTTTCTGTATATTTTCACCTCTGAGAATTACAATATTCAGAGTCAGTGTTTTCCATGTTCTGTGCCTGCTGAGTGGTCCTGCGGTTCACAGGGAGCATTTGTCCAGGGGTTGGGAGGCTTGGGCAGGGCAGAGCCCTCTGCACCCCAGTCCCCCCACTCTGGGGTGGGTGCCTGTCTCCACCCTGGAGCCATACGGCTGTGGCAGAGGTGGCGCCTGCTGGGCAGTGGGCGAGGCTGTGGAAGGACAAAGACTGTGACCATCCATCCTGAGGAGCCGGCTGAGCCAGGCGGAGGTGTTGGCGCACAGGGCAGAGAGGAGTCTTGCCACCCCCTACTGGGGTGCGGGGATTGCTGTTCACACCGCTCGTGTGCCCACCTGGGAGACCTGGGCCCAGTCACCCCAGGAAGCCAGAATCCAGAGGTGGAAGTGACCTGGTGATGTCAGAGGCAAGAAGGGGGAGGGAGGTCTGGGGTTTTGTATAAATGTATAAACCTGTGTGCGTTTCTGAGACCCCAAGGGACAGCAAACCTGTTTCCCCTTGTAGGTGGCAGGGATGAGGGTGTGTCTGGCTCCATGATTGCCCAGGCTCTCACTGGGGCAGGGGACACAGTGTAGTGGGAAAGGGGACACGGTGCAGTGGACATCAGCCTCGGTAGAGCCCCAGGAATCAGTTTGGAGGCTGCACTAACCAAACAGCTCAGCCAGAGGAAGCCCCGGGAACTTGATGGGACCAGCAGGACAGATGGAGCTGCCCTGGGCCAACCTGACCTTCCTGGCTTGTCTTCTCCGTGACCATGACCATCCTGCTCTGGGTGGGGGTGGGGAGAAGACCCCTTCTACGACTGTTCAACAGCTGGGGTACAGAACTAGAACCATCTTTATGAGAAAGAGGCTGAGGCGAGGAGGCCAGCCCAACAGTTCCTTCTGGAAGGCCTTAGGCATCCTAGCCTCAGGGTCTGGATGGAAACCCTGGGCTGCGCTGCCTTGACCGGGGCAGGGCCCAGGCTGTGTGCGTCTGTGGATGGGGGCGTCAGGCGACGGCTGCTTGCTGGAGGCATGAGCTCACGGCCATGCAGCTTCCCCCAACCTTCTGCTTGTGGCTTGGGCTCGTCTGGTCAGAATGTGGATAGAGGTCCTCCCAGTCCAATCTTGTTCCTCTGACCCTCTGGCTGTCCCTGACCTGCAGGCTTGGGCTCAGGAGCATGGTTCCCAGGCCCCGTTTCCTGAGGGGAGTCTGTCCCCACCACTCAGACCCAGCGATGTCCCTTCCCAGCCCAGGCTGAGCAGTGTTGTCCCTGTGGGTGGTCCTGAGGTCCAGCTCCACAGCTGGCACAATGCCAGGCTGAGGGCCAGCAAGAGAGTCCCAGGGGGTTGGCGCATAACCCACTCATTGGGGGACGGTGCGGGGGGCAGAGAAGTTGGGGTAGCTTCCGACCCAGACGCCTTTAATTGAGCCAGTCCCCATCAGACTGGTGACAGTGGTCTGGGCTGTGGTGGCATGCAGAGTCCTGGCTACAGTGGTCCTCACCGCACAAAACTGCTGCTCTAATAAACTACTGGGATGCACAGTTAGTAACAAGGAGGGCATCCTAGCTAAAGGTCCTAAAATTCCCCTGAAGATGGGCGACTACAAAAGCGGAGGTTTGGTCCTTGGAAGAGTCTACAAACGCACCGCGCTAAGTTCCCAACTGGTCCCTGAAGTACAGCAGCCCTGGCGGGGCTCAGCTCACGGGCGCTGCTCCCTTGCTGGGGGGGGCTGGGACGGGCTGGAGGCCGGGGGCCTGGACACAGGCTGCAGCTCCACAGGGAGGCAGGCGGCCGTCGGGCATCGAGGGGCGGCGAGCACACAGGAGGAGGGGCAAGCCCCAGCCCCTTAGCCTGTGAGTGGTGAGGCCCCAGGGTTTCCCACAGCCCTGCCCTCATGAGGCACCTAGCCCCCAGGCCCAGGCAACCTGAGCCGCCCCTGGCAGTGACACCTCCCCAGATTCAGCCCTGGTCACAGGACCTGCAATCCTCCAAAGGAGTTTCTGGGGAGGGGAAGGGAAGCACCTTTCAAAGTCAGTTCAACAAAGGGAAAACTAACAGGGTGAGGGTCCCCACACCGTGCGCCCACCAGCTTGACCACACCCTGAGCGGTGACTTCTAGGACAGTGAGGTGATGTTGGAACGTCCCCCAGGGGGCGCCATGATCTTCTGGGCTGTGCGTCTGGCAATGTGGTCGTCTGCCTGAGATCCTGCAGAAAAGGCGTGGCATGAGGGTGGGGAGGGGTCCCAGATGGGGCCCCATCAAAAGCCCCACCCACATCAAGGGTCCCTGACAATCCCCAGATGGCCATGGTGGGGAGACCAGGTGACCAGGCAGGTGCTCCTGTCACCAAGGCCTTGGATGCATAGGACAGTAAGGCCAGGGTTTACTGTAGGCAGGAGAGTGGAGGTCAAGGTCGACCCTCTGGGAAGCCTGTCTGGAGCATAGGCCAGTTTGCCTAGTCCCTCTAGTGGGTCTCAGGCCACCCTGCACACAGTCCCCCCAAGAAGCCTGTCCCCAGCTTTTAAGATAATACAGATTTCAAAAGGGACCTTCCCCTGGCCCTATGTCCCCAGGAGGTGAGCAGGGACTGCCATCACCTCCCCAAGAGGGAGCATGAGACAAGACATCAAGGGGCAGGCAAGCCCCATTCAAGGGCTGGAAAGGGGGAGGTCTGGCTCTGGCTTGCAGGGAGAACCTGGGGCTCAGTGCTTCTGGAAGGCTCTGCCACACAGCATGCTGGAAGGCACCCTGACTGGAGGCGTGAGTCTGGCAGCATCACAGCATGTCCCAGAAGACCCCTTTCTTCCCGTGCTTCACATATGGTGGCGGGGCTGTGATGGGCTGGAGCAGCTGGACTCCCACATGGTATTCAGGTTCCACAGAGGCTGGGCATCCCTTGCTCACTGTGGGCTCAGAGTGACAGCTCCGGGGCACATACTGGGGCAGGAAGGGGCTTCCTCGGCGGGCCTCACACCCCTGGGTCCCTCTCAGGGTGATGGTTTTCACCCACCAGCGAGGTTCAACTCACCAGACAAGCTGAACCCCGACTGGTGCAGGTTTCGAACAGGTGGCACTGAGATCTTCCCTGGGCAGGATGCGCGGGCCTGGCTGCCGCCCCCAGGCTTGGCTGGCACCATCACCTCATGGACCGGCCCATCATAGAGGCCTCGGGGCACACCGTGGATCTCCGCCAGCTGCGGGTCAAGGGAGCCGGGCGTGAGGGGGCTGAGCCACCGACAGCTAGAGGGAAGGGGGTTCCTGCCGAGCCTGACCACTCTGCTCTGTGGGTCTCCCTCACTGGGCTCTGGAGCTCTGGGGCTCCCTGCCAATGGAGTGTCCACCTGCATGCACGGACACCTGCCTCCTTCCCCTCCCTCCTACTTACACACAGGTGTGCACACACACTTCTCTCCCCTGAGTCCGGTGGCCGTGCCGAGCTGCAGGAGCTCTGCTCAGACAAGGGCAGCCCCATAGAGGAGGCTGCTGTTTGGAATTGGAAACCAGCCCCAACATAGTCTCTGCCTCCTCAGTACCCATCACCCTGTGGCCCCAGCACAGCCCCCACTCTGGCCCATAGGAAGCCCTGAGACGGAGGCCCTGGGTCCCCCTGAAAATGACCCCCAAAGTCAGAGGAATTTCCCAGTAGCCACCACGATGGACAACTGGACCATGGATTGACATAAAACTTTCAGATGTGCTTGTGCTTTGGCTGGCGCCTCCCCCAGGATGTGTGGTTTAGACCCATGACTGCAGGGCCTGAGCCCAGCCCTGGGAGACTGCCGATGAGATCCTGCCCTGGGGGTTCCTCTCAGGCAGAGGCACAGGGCCAGACAGAGCCACTGTGGGGTGTTGGGTCACAAAGACTCAAGCCTGAGTCCAGCCCCCATCCCATCACCCCAGCTATATGACTGGGAGCCCATCACCTGTCTGAGCCTCAGATGTCATCTCTCTGTGCCTGGCTGTACATGAGGCTGGGTCTGCATCTCACAAACTGTACCCCAGACTCCACTGCTTGGGGTGCAAGAGTGATGGGGACACCTAGCTTGTGGCTGGGACACTACCTCTTGACTCACTTGGAGGAGGGGCGGTGTTCTGAGGTCAAGGTCAGGTCCCAGGAGCAGCTGCAGGGCCCTGACAGCTTGAGTTAGAGCAGATGTCACCCCCACCCCAAGGGACGGCCCCCAGGCTGCTCATTCTCAGTTCAGACATCCTTCCAGTGTGCCTGTGTGCACGCGTGTGCGTGCATATGCACACAGGAACCACCACATGCCACGTGGGACCTGGCCCACTCAGCAGACACGGGGTCGTGGGAAGAGAAGGTAAAGGCTAGGAAAAGTGCTCGTGACGCCCAAGTTCACAGGAGCCGTGGAAGCTTCACGCCCTAGTTACCGATGTGCACATCTGCTCACGGAGAAACCTGGGAGGGTCCCTGCTTTCAAGGTAACGGTGCTTTACTTGGGGAGGTGCCACTCATGACTTTATTTCCCTCTCTCCGGGCTTTGCACAGTCATGGGTCACTTGGAAAATAAATGTGCAGAGCCACCCCCGGGAACCCAGCCCCGGAGCAGGCCTGTTTGCTTTCCCGACTGCCAGGCGGGGGGCAGGGCTGATCGGGAGCGAGCGGAGGGCCCAAGGACTTGACCCTTGCACGTCAGCTTGGGCCTTACCCGGTTGCGAGCTTTGATCCTCTTGTAGACGAAGTCGGGGAACGTCTTCCGAGGAATGAAGCGCCCGGCGCCCGGAGTGACAAACAGGTGCCCGTCCTCCAGGACCACCCTGCCCTGGCTGATGACCACCGCGGGGGCTCCTCGGCACTCGACACCCTCAAAAATGTTGTACTCGACGTTCTGGGGAGACAGGGCCGAGGGTCCAGCACTACCCCCAAGACACCCCTCGGGCTGCCAGCGTCCCCAGGGGCTGTGGGCCCATGTTTGACCTCTGATGGGATGCAGTCAACTCGGCTGGGCCAGAACCAGCAGGAACTGGCTGCCACCTCTCATGTCTGTCCCTGAGTCTTGTTTCTTAGAAGGACAAAGGGCATGGGGGTGAGCCTGCACTATGTAACTTGCCAAGGCCGGCAGGCACATGACACTGCCGCAATCTCTAGACAGATGTCCCGGCCACATGTCCCCACTGAGATGGGCAGAGCTGTCCCGGAGGGCCATCCTGGAGCCCCCGGGAAGGCTGCCAGGCCCCAATCCCAACCTGACCCTGACTCGGGGACCTGGCTTCTCTCACCAGGTTGTGGCTCTTGGCAGAGATGATTTTCGTGGCCTTAGGGTTCCATATAACCAGGTCGGCATCGGAGCCCACAGCCACTCGCCCCTTCCTTGGGTAAAAATTGAAGATTTTGGCTGCATTTGTACTGGTCACGGCAACAAACTCATTCTCGTCCATTTTCCCTGAGGCCTGGGAAGCAAGAAGGTGAACTGATAAGTCCGGAGCTTCATGGGGACCGTGCCCCACCCCCCAGGCAGTGGGCAGCACCGGGCCCGCACTCCCAGGGCATGTGAATTGGATCCATCTCCGCCAGCCATCTGGTCTCGCCCTTCCTGTGCCCAAAGCCTCGTCTCTGTGCTCACTTTGTGGGTAAATAAATGGAGAAGCTTCCACGTCTGTGTCTCCTGAGGGACGTGACCATTTCCCTGAGTGGCCAGGGGCCTGGGGAAGCAGGGCTGCGAGGGGAGCTGGGATCTGGGCCTTGGCCCAGAGAAGGGCTGAGCTTGGGGGTTACAGGGACAGAGGGCTTTCTGAGTGAGGTGGAAGCCTGAGCTCACAGGCACCTGTGAGACTAGCACTGCAGAGGGTAATGCCATCGGGAAGGGGCCCTGCTCGCCCTCAGCTGTCTGTATAGATGCAACGTGAGAATCGGAGGGGAGGGCCTGGCTGATGGAGTCTTCTCCCGGGGGAGCCCTGGACACAGGGCTGAGGGGTGGACCCGCTGGGGACCACACACTCGACTATTCCACAAGATGTTTCCTGATTAAGTGCTTCCCGCTCTGATGAGCCAGCAGATCCCAAGCAGCCGGCTCCAGGTTGTGGGGACGGCGCCCAGGCCCTCGGACTCACCACGCACTTCTCCCAGACCACCGACAGGCGCTCCTCCGCCCCGTTGGTGCCCTCAGGAATGAGGGTGAAGTTGTCTTTGCCGACAGCCTTCTGGGCAGTGGTGAAGGTGCAGTGGGCACTGCCGGTCACCTGGAGGTCCCCGCTGGGAACAAGCGGGTCAGGGGAACCCAGAGGGGCCTGGCCTTCCTGAGTCAGCCAAGGCAACTCAGCTTCACCCCCACGCAGGCCAGCGCACCCGCAGGGCCAGAGGTTGTCTGTGTGGGCGGCGCTGGTGCCTCAGTGTGGGGATGGGCAGGGCAATGACGGTGGACGCTCTGATGGGAGGCGAGGCCCAGGGTTTGTGCGGGCGAGTCCTGGAGCTGCCAGCAGGCCGAGGTCATGCCCGGCGTGCAGCACACAGACCAACCTGGGGCCACCTGAGCAGCTCCTTACCTGGACAGCAGGGAGGTGAGGTGGTCTGCAGTGGTGAGGTCCGGGTTGATGGGGGGGGAAGTGACGAAGGCCGCGGCTTTTGCCCAGTTCTTGCTCCAGTAATGTGAGCCGTCAGTGCCCAGGCTGGCGGTGATGGGCTCCCCGAACACGACCACCCCTGCATTGAGGCCCATGAGAGGCACCCACCAGCCTGCACGTCCCCCAGGACCCAAGCAGGGTGGAGGCCTGGGCACCGCACTGCCCCCCATTTCCCAACCCTGCACAGCTTGTCCCCCTCACACTGCTGCTGGAGGTCAGGCCTGCTGGGCACTCCACTGGGCCACCGGCTGGAGTGAGACCCCATAAACTCCCTGCCCACCCCCTGCCTGTCGGCACAGACACAAGTTCTTCTTATGTACCCCCCTGCCTCCAGCTGTGTGGGTGCTCTGTGGGCACCCCAGGTCTCAGGACATGCACTCAACTCCTGGAAGCACAGACGTGCCCAGAGAACAGTAATGTGGGGCTCTGGGTGGTCAGCTGGGCAAGGTTCTGTTGCACATAAAATCAGGTTCCCCACCCCCCACAGCACAGTTGTCACTCATTGCAAGGCCAACAGGCCCCACTTTTTATGTTAAGGCCTCCTGATGACCAGCTGTGCTCCAACAAGATGGGAGACTCGCCCCTCCAGCCACACAGCGACTGGCCCTGCATCTCCTGCAGGCCACACGGCCACCCCCCTGGGCCCCCTGACAGGGAGGCCAGGCTGCACGGCAGCCTGCTTCTCAGTCACATGTGTCCCATGCTGAGCCTCTGTGAAGCCAGCCAAGCTCCCAGGAAGCCGAGAGCATGACCCCTGAGCCCCGCCAGACCCTGGGGTCGCACTGGGGCCCAGGCCCGGCACTCACCCCTGCGCTTGGCCCGGGCGACCACGTCAGCTGCGCTCTTGCTCATCACTTTGGTGACGTACAGGGGGCAGTTGGCCTGCTTGGCAATGGTGACAGCACGGTACACAGCCTCTGCCTCCACCTGGGGACGGGTATCTCAGGCCATTCGAGGGCCCTGGGGCCTCTCCACACACAGATCCTGGGCCCAGGGGGCACCCCTGGGTGGGTGAGGGCCCCCGACTGGGGCTAGGGCTTACCCGTGCAGCTCCCAGGGCCTTCTCAGCCTCAAGCACCAGGCTGAGGGTAACCAATAGTCACAGCGGACGTGTGCCTGGTGGCGGGCAGCTTTGGACAGCGTGACCACAGCCCTGCCTGGCCATACAGCCAAGACCCACCCCCAGAGGAAGGTGGCATCTGGGGTGAGGTCAATGCAGGGTGCCCTTGGCGGGCACAGCACCTACCTCCTCGGGGTGGCTGAGCACATGGCCCTCGGGGCCGGTGATGCCAAGCTCCAGCAACCGCTTCTGCTCCTGAAGAAACCAGCAAGGTGCCACGTTTCCACCCAGGCGCACCAGAGCCCGGGAGCCTCAGCAAGGGTGGGAGGCTCACCATCCAGGGGCTCCCCGAGCTGAGTCTGGGCCCCCAGCATCGCCAACCAGAGACTTAAATGCAAGAGAGGAGTGACTGCAGCTCCCTGAACTACAGGTGAGGGGATGGGGCTTGGAGAGGGCAAGGGACACATCCAAAGTCCCAGGGCTCCCAACAATGGGGCTGAGATGACCCCACAGGCTGGGTGTGCACTGGGTGCTCTGCACAGTCGGGTGGGCGGACCTCCCCGCAGGTCCAGAGGAGCCCCTGAACCTCCCAGGTGCCCCACAGCGCCTGCACCTGAGGGGACACCAAAGGCGTGAGGAGAAAAAAGCCAAGTGCATGGCCCAGAGGTCGTGGGTGCCCACCTCACAGTTCCAGGACCTATGGGGACGGCAGGTGGGCTCAGCGCCACCTGGGGTGAGATTGAAGGGCAGGCACTGATCCCACATGTGCGCTCTCTGGTCAGAAGGAAAACCAAGGCCAGCTCCCCGGGGGGCCACCACCCATGGGGCCAGGAGGCATGGCACCCCCCATCTCAGTCACCCCCCCACATAGCAACGCCTTGGTTTGGGGGAATTTCTGATAAGTGTGATGACCATGGGAAAATCTGTTGCAGCAAAAAGCCCCCCAGGTGCCCTAACACCCCGCTTGCTTGACCTTTGACCCTGGGCAAACTACCTACTCAATATGGTCAGTATTCCCTCCCTTGGGGTTTGTGAGGTTAAGTGCTCACATCCTGGGGTCCAGGAATCACCCGTGCCCCTCGCCCCTCGCCTTGCCCCGGGCAGCCCAGCCCGCACCTCCTCCACGATGTCCCCGTTCTCTGCGTGCACTTGGGCCAAGGCTCCCAGGTCCCGAATGATGCTGAAGATCTCATACATCTGGGGGGAGAGGTCCACGAGCCATGTGGGGCTGCGTCTCTCCTGGCAGCAGCCCCAGAGGCATCTGCCTGTCCCCTCCTCTAGGCACCGGCCCTTACCTGGCCATCGGTGCACTGGCATCTGTCCTTGTACGCCATGAAGACCAGGAAGGAGTTCACACCTGGAGGAGATGCAGGGACAGGTGAGACGCTCGGCTGCCAGGGGTGATGCCTGGGGGTCTCCCCTGCCCCCTCATCTCCAGAGGGGCCGGGGCAGGTGGCCCTCTCCCATGGCCATCTCCCAGCTGGCACAGTGGCACTTGGCACCAGTCCCACATACACCTACCAACAAGTGGTGATAAAGGACAGAGCCTGCCCAGCTCCCCTTACCTGCACCTCACGCGCTGGGATCAAGGACCCAGCAGCAAATGCAGGTGAAACCCCACAACCCCCCTCAGGACCTCCTCCCCCCTCCTTAACTTCATCTAATTTTTGTCAAATCCACTATGAAACCTTGATGTGGTTTTAGCTTTAGAACTTTTAATAAAAAAAATGTAACCCTTGATGACGGACTGGCCTGTCATCAGCACAGGCAGCAATAGGGTGATGGTTTTTCCTCCACCCACGACCAAGAGGCAAGGGAACTGAGGTGACAGGACAGCTATAGGACATGTCCCTCAGGCCTGGGAGGCAGAGGACCCTTGATCTGGATCCTTTGGAAGTAGAACAGACCCTCGAGTGACCCTTGTCCAACTTTCCCCAACTCCTGGCTACCTGCCCTGGGGTCAGACGAATGCAGAGTCCAGCACAGTGGGGCCAGGGAAGGGGCTTCCCACCGAGACCAGGGAAGCCCAGGCGCCTGTCTGCATGCTGGCAGCCACCCTCAGTCCTGCGGGCCGCTCACCCTTGTCCTTGACCAGGGCCTCCAGCTCCTCCCTGATGCTCTCGTGCCAGCGGGGGATGTCCACATGCAGGGAGTAGTCGCAGCATGCCCCGGCATCCGCGCGCTCCCGCCACAGCTCGTAGGCCGCCAGCAGGCTCACACCCACGTCAGGGAACACGTGGTCCACTGTGGGGACAATGCAGTCAGCCGAGCCCCCAACCCAGAAACCAGAACGACCTTGACCTCCAAGGAGGTCACATTACCAAGAGATCAGGAACAGAGGAGAGGCCACAGGCACCTTAACTGGGGGCTGACCCTGCTGTAAACCTGCCCATCAGTTTTGTCCAGAGAGGCATCGGTCCTACCTCCTCAGCCTCTCTCTGAGCTGAGAGACAAAGTCCAGGTTCAACCCGCCCCCCTCTCCGATGCACACATCACAGCCCAAGAGCACGAGCGGAAGCTAAGGGTCTTAACCTCTAACACAGGAGCACCTGGAGGTCAGGGAGCCTACAGCGCTGGACCTAGAAGCCTGCCCAGAACAGCGGGTGGGGCTGGCTTCCCTTGGGCTTTCCAGACCGCACACACCTTCATCAGTGCCACCCATCCCGCCCATCCCCTGGGGAACCTGGGAGTGCACACAGCCACTGCACTGTCACACCGCCTCCCCCGCCAACCTCGAATCCAAGACCCAAACCCTGCTCACAGCCTCCCCTGGGTGAGGGAAAGAGCTGGGAACATGGTGGCCAACGGAAGGCACACACCCGGGGGTACAGGCAGGCGCTGTGCCTTCCTCCAGCATACCCATGTGGGCCCCTATGCTTCACAGCTCAGATGGAGAAGCCAGGACCCTGGGGGAGTGGGTGCCTGCCCCTCCCACGGGCCATTCACAGCTCCAGCCTGGTGCTGGCAGGTAGAGGACGCAGATGGCTCGACAGAAGTCAGCCCCAGCCTGCAAGATCTCTCCTTCCTCACGGGGACACTTCACAGCTTGTCTGATGCCTCGGCATTGGCATGAGCAGGTGACATCAGCCACGAAGGTGTCCCGGCCAGCAGGGGCCACCAGTGACCGACATGAGCAATGGCCTGAAATGACCAGTCTTCTGAGTCCAACTAAAAGATGGGCCACCAAAGGTTTTTTTCACTTCGTAGTTGAGTAAACCAAACCAAGCCATGATTTTGACAGTGGCTAAATGTCACTGGTGAAGTAGCCCACAGTCCTCAGTGCGGTCTTTCCTGGTGGCAGCAGTCACGGCAGTCACTGAGCATTCCCCGTGCGCCGGGCACAACACGACACCTATGCTCACAAGCTCGCCTCTTCCTCCGCCTGCCTTATGGATTAGGAAAGTGAGACTTGTACAAGCCGGCTGTCACCTGAGGTCACGAAGCTAGAGCCCAGTGGAGCCAGGGTTCAACCTGGTCTGTGAGACCTGGTCTCTGGCAGGCACGTCTATACTCGGCATTCAAGGCTGTGAGAGGAGGGGCCGGGCCTGCTGTCTCGTTCTGGCTCCTGAGCTTGCTGAGAGCAGGTTCACCGTGCAAGCTGTCACATGGGCTCCTCCTCCCAGCTCAGAGGGGTTTATGAGGATAGCACGTGAGCTGAAGCCCATCGGGAGGGTGCTCGTGCCTGGCACAGAGCCAGCTTAAAGAAATGGTGCCCCTGGTGGTGGTTGACAGGGTAACAGTAAGTTCTTGTCATCGTTTTTCTAAAAGCACAGCGTCTTTAACTCCTCTTGGCACAGGCAGGTGCTTGCTGCAACCCAAGCTTCAGCGGCATGAGGTTCAGGAGCAAGCGTGTCTTACATTTCAGGTGACACAACCCTTTGCTTGTTCAAAGCATCTGAGTTTTCCAAACCTGGTCCCTGGCCGGCCGCTGGCTTCCCAGGAAATAAGTAACCGGGCCCGCATCCATTTGCTCCCACGGAATCCCGGGAGCGCCCCAGAGCTGGCCAGGCAAGGGACCAGCATGAGAAGGAGGGATGACAAGGATGACAAGGGACGGTGCCCCAGGGCTCCGGCCATCGGGATAGGGTAGAGGGGACATGGAACTGAGAAAAGACCCACCGCACAGAACGCTTCCCGCAACACATACACCTGGCCAGAGCACTGAGGGGGGGACGGACGCCACCTGCCCTGCGGACACTCACGTATCATGGTGGTCCCTCCCGCAAGGGCGGCCTTGGTGCCCTGGCAGAAGTCATCAGCCGGAGTCATGCCCAGGACAGGCATCTGCAGCCTCGTGTGGACGTCAACTCCCCCTGGAAGGACCAACAGGCCATGGGCGTCGATGGTTCTGATGCCCCCAGGAACAATGAGGTTTTCTCCAATTTGTCTGAAAGCAACAGAGACGTCAGAAAGAGCCCGGGTCGGAACATGAACGGGCTCCCCAGCAACGCGGGGGAGCAGGGGGGAGCTGGGGTTTGGGCTCCTGTCCTTGAGGAAGAGGCCACATGGCCAAGGCTCGACTGGAGTCCTGGAGACAGTCAGGGAGCGAGACACCCTGTGAAATGGCCAAAACAGCCCTGTGTGCACGTCATGGCCCTCGTGGTGTCCTCTGAGGTGTCCACTTGCCCTTCAGTGACTAGTGGCTGGAGAAGCTAATAGGTATGGTCAGTAAGTATTTATGAAGCACCTGCTGTGAGCCCTGAATCGTTCCAAGGCTGTGAGGGTGCAAGAAATGTGGACGCCACGGGCCTGTTTTCCGAGGCTTTAGGACTAACTGGCAAGAGCCCTGTCGCTCAAGGCCTGGGCCAGAGCTGCTTGCAGGGAGTGAGGTTTCGGAAAAGACACTGACGTGGATCTCACAAGACTAGACGTTTGCCCTAGGTAACGTGCAGCCAGTGTGCACACTGTGACTTGTGAAGGCCCTTTTGGCAGAAACTTACTTTATCAAACCGTCTTCCACGTACAAATCAGCGTAGAAGGACTGGTCATCGTTCACCACCTTCCCACCTTTGATCAGAAGGCGGTCACTCTATTCCAAACAAAAAAAAAAGCGGTACGTTTTCTCCAAACCGAGTCACCCAACATCTTTGGTACAATGTTTCACTCTGGATTTACTACTGCAACATTCGGGCACAATCTGTACACGTAAAACCCAACAGAAAAGCCAGCAGCATTTACCATCCGAGAGGGTGGGACAGAGGCAGCTATAGGCGGTGGCAGCCCTACCCACTCCTAAGGGGCCTGCGCCCGCCCAGCCCCTCCTACTCCGCAGAGCCCCCCACAGGCCCCTCCACAGCAGCCCCAGCACAGCCTCTCTGACAGCTCCCCACCCGCACTGGCCCCTCAGGCCCCCTTATTCTAAGAGGCCC